TAAAAAAAAACAATAGGTCTGGCGAGGGTTAAAGTGCGACAGATATTGCGTGCAAGGCCGTACATATAGATCACCAAAGCAACAATTGTCTTTTACCAATGGTTTAGTATAATATTTAAAATTGCCAGATCTGAGCTGACGTCGCTAACTCTAAGGGACATTCAAATGCTTTAGCCCCTTGGAATCCGAAAACTGCAGATTTTGAAGTGGAATATTTCCGAACTAAGGCACTCGATGTTGTGAGTGCCGAAACCGGTAAGTGCAGGCCAGGGACCCCAATGGCCAATTTGGCCATCTCAACTCAAAAACTTATGTCAAAGTGAGATGACCACTTGAATAGGAATCATAGGAATTAGACAAGGGCGCACACAAGGGGGGGGGCACACGGGCCCGTGCCCCCCCCATTCGAGTTGGGGGGGGCCAACTCCAAGGAAGGGGCCCATTTGAGGCGGCCGAAGGCCGCCTCAAATGGGCCTCTAACTAATCCTTAGACCACCGAAGACCGTGTACAAAGGGCCCGCAAATGGCCTTAAAGGGCCCTCAGATGGTCTCAAAAGGCCCTCAGATGGCCTCGAAGGGCCCTCAGTTAGCGTCATAGGGCCCTCATATGGTGTCAAAGGGCCCTTATATGGTGTCAAAGGGCCCTCAGATGGCCTTAAGGAGCCCTCAGATGACCTCAAAGGACTCTCAGACGGCCTTAAAGGGCCCTCAGATAGCCTCAAAGGGCCCTCAGCTAACGTCAAACGGACGTCAGAAGGCCTTAAAGGGTGTCAAAGGTCCCTGAGCAGGCGTCAGAGGGCCATGCCCTTGCGTCAAACGGCTCTCCGAAGGCTCTAAAGGGTCCTTAGCTGGTGACAGAGGGCCCCCAGCTGGTGCCAGATGGCAGATGGCCCCCAGCTGGCGCCAAATGGCCATCAGAAGGCCTCAAACGGTCCTCAGCTGGCGTCAAGCGGCCCTCAAAAAGCCTCAAGGGGCCCTTAGAAGACCTCAAGGGCCCTCAGAAGGCCTTAAAGAGCGTCAAAGGGCCTTGAGCTAGCGTCAGAGGGCCCCCCAGCTAATGTCAGAGGGCCCTGAGCAAGCGTCAAACTTAACCCTATTAGTGGCAGGGGGGTTGTTTTTATCCACCCCTCAGGTTTTTCGGGAATATCTCCAAAACCGCTGAAGCTACGATGCTAAAATTTTCTGACTTTTCCTAAAACTTAATTGGGCACATTCCCTGAAAATTTCAAGTTCATAACTTTACCAGGGGCGGCTCCAGAGCACTGGGAATTGGGGGTCCTATTCGTGAAGCGAGTCATTTGGGCGAAGGTCACGATGCTGCACCAGTTTTACGAACAGTGAATGAAAGGTATCATGTGATAACATATACAAAGTTATTGTGCATCCTCTTTTGACACGTTTTTGCTATAATAGGCGGATCCAGGCGTCCAAAAAGGGGGGTTATTTTTTACCTCCCAACATAGGTGCCCTGACACCGCCTATGCATGACCAATACAATTTTAGTCGTTCTCTCATAAGAAAATTGTAACATAACAAGACCATTGCCACCCTTTTTAGAAACAGTACCAACAAAAACCTGATTTACTATACTTTTTGTGTACCCCCAATCTCAATGATCTGTATCCGCCTATGATTTTTGAAAATGCATATTTTTAGGATCCATGTGAATTCCTGGATCATTCTCTATCGATCGGCAAAAGTTGCGTTAAGATTCGTTCAGAAACCTGGCCGTGATAAACAGTCTAAAATGTATCTGCAATTTGCCCGTTTTTACCCCCCTCTACCCCCCTATTGACATTTTTTTAATTTTTTTTTTAGAAATGTAGATCTCGTTGAGCCAAATCGAATGCCGTTTGAATTTTGAAAATCGGCCGGTTAGATCTCGAGATATCAAGGGGGGTTGTAAACAGCCCCCCCCCCCTGCCACTAATATGGGGTAGCCAGGAGCCTGCCACTAATAGGGTTAAAGTGCTTTTAGCTGGTGTCAGAGGGCCCCAGTTGGTGTCAGAGGGCGTCTAATTTGGCGTCTAATGGCCATCAGAAGGCCCAAAAACGATCCTCAGCTGGCGTCCAGCGGTCCTCAGCTGACGTCAAGAGGCCCTCAAAAGGCCTCAAAGGCCCCTCGACTGCTCAAAGGGCCCTTAGAAGGCCTCAATGGGAACTCATGAGACGTTAAACGGCCTTCAAAAGGCTTGAAAGGGCCCTCTGCTGATGGCAAAGGGCTCGCACCTGAGTCAATAAGAGCCTTGTCAAAAAACGGACCTGAGAAACCTTGCCGGCCCTGGTTATCTGCGAGACTCCTACACTTACCTGAGTGGCCCCCGTTTACTGAGGGGCCCTGGTTATTGATGGGGTCCCTGGTTACTTAAGGGGCGCCTGGTTACCAGAGGGGCCCATGGTCACCTGGTGGGCCCCTGATCAATTGAAAACCCCTGGTCATCTGAAACGCCCCTGATTACCTAAAGGGTCCCCAATCACTTGGATTCAGTGACATAGCAAGGGAGCGAGGGGGTACGTGCTCGTTCTCGGGTTTAGGGTTCCTTCGAAACCGAGGGGCCCTGCGGCGCCAGTTGGTAGCAGAGGGTTCGCGCTGGCCGCTTTTCTACTCGGAAGGACACCACAGGGCTTGTGGGGAGACGTTATTGGCTCCTATGTAGCCACAATTATCTTCGTAAAGGCCCAATGCCGGTTTCTGAGAGACCTCGCCGGCCGCGCTCAGGGCCCTAGTAACGGCCAACGAGGGATTGGCTGCTATGGCTCCACATCCGTCTGTGATAGACACACGGTCCACACCAGTATTTCTAAAGGCACCCACAACGGCAACTGCGAGGCCCCTCGCCCCACCTCCAAAGGACCCCCACCAGCGCATCGGCGGCTCTGAGAGTCCCCACACCGACGCCTCTGAGGGCCACGTACCAGTGACTCTGAGGGCCTCTTACCAGCCTCCGAGTGCAGTGGCGCGGGAACTACTTTGCGACTGGGGGGGGGGGGCACACCATAATAGAGATCAGCCTAGGGTATCCCCAAATCTAGTTTTCTCACCGGTTTTAGGCCACTTATTTTTCATCCCTCGGCTTTTTCAACAAAAAAGATAACATTTGCAAAAAAGTGTGGTATTCCGTCTCAAAGCTGTGGGGGCACCGCCCCCACGGCCCCAGAGTTGGGGGGGGGGCAAGCTGCCCCCACTGCCCCCCCCCCCGGCTCCCGCGCCTATGTCCGAGTGTCCTTGCCAGCCTATGACGGGCCACTTTCCACTTGCAGGCCATTTTGCAGGGCCACACACATGCCAATGATGGCCAAACCAGTGTCTCTAAGCCCTAAGACACCGCAACGGCGCTAGTGAGGACCCAACACCAGCGCATCTGACGGCCTTTCACTGGCACCTCTGAGAGGCACCTCTGGCTCCTTTGTCTGTAAACGTCAACTCCGATCTTCCACATTTTCTCATGCAAAAACCGTTTTAAAGAGACCCGTCTGCCAGTGAGACTGGACCCACCGTGCCTCGCTCCTCCCATCGAAAGGTCCTGGATACATCCTTGCCTGAGCTGACCCCGGGCCCCCGGGTGACTCGCGGGCCCGGGGTCAGGTGACCAGCAGGTGACCCCCTCTTGGGCGAAATTCTGGGTACGTGTCCGACATGCATCGTACATAGTCCTGTTGATTTGATTCATTGGTTAAACATTAAATATAAGTTATAAGCTGGATCTCTAGTCTGTGATCCCGCATCGTATCAGATATAATGACATTTCATGTCGATGTGCCTAAAAAAATATGCGAATATACGTGAAAAAGGAGTGCTGCTCCCACTCCTACACATCCGGGCCAAACAGTGACCGGCGGCCCCTGCTTCTAGCCACCCGGGGCCGATCGGCCGGCCGGCAGTCAGTCGCTGCCCGGGAATGATTTCTGAGGGACTTGCAAAAATGTTTATTAATGAAGTGTTTTACGTAATAAATTAGATGATTAGGTATATGTACACTGTAAAAAAAAGTTTAGCACCCATGTCAAAAACCAGCACCCTATACCTGCTTATTTTAAGCAGGCTAAATGGGTGATAAATTTTAGCACCCTTTTCGAAAAATAGCTCCCTGTGCCGGCTTATCTTAAGCACCCTAAATGGCTGCAACCATTTAGGGTGCTTAAAATAAGCCGGCACAGGGAGCTATTTTTCGAAAAGGGTGCTAAAATTTAGCACCCAGTTAGCCTGCTTGAAATAAGCAGGTACAGGGTGCTGGCTTTTGACATGGGTTTTTACAGTGTACCGGCTCTGAGTCGCATTTGAGAAAAAACATGGTAGCGTAAAAATATATATGTTTTCAAAATTAAGCTGGTACCGAAATAATTGTTTTACCTACCATGCATTGACAAACCAATTGCTCAAGCTTCAAACCAACCGAAATATACCCCGTGGGCCGTATTTTTTTTTGGGGGGGGGGGGCCTTCGGCATGGGGGGCCCAGTTCGAAGGTTGTCCCCCCCCCCCACTCAAAAATCCTGTGTGCGCGCCTGGTCAATTAGAATATTTCGAAGTTTGAAAATAAAGCGTCGGCATAAAAAAACATGAGTATGGCCACTTTGCCCCAGTCTCCCGGCTAAAAATTAAGGGTTTACCTTCCTAGTCCCTCTTTAATGCGATTTCTGGAACTTAATTTTATCACTTAGTAGATCAGCTGGAGATCCATTGATTGGCGTTCCGATTTTGAAACTCTAATTTTGAAATTTTGGCCCAGCCTGGAAAGTCAACCAGATCATCTAGGACCTTGAAACCGTGGGTAACAATGGCTTCCGGCTTCCTATCGCCACAACACGCTTTTTTCGCAAAGCTCTAGCTCTATCAATAGCCGAACGGCTGGGTTGGGTCAAACGGACCCCCCCCCCACCCCATCATGTAGGTTATCAGATGGCGAAATGCCCTTTGCCCCCACCTACCCACCCCTCAAATAGGACCTTAAACCTGCTAGACCTCAACAGGGCCGGGCTAAAGGTCCAGCCGGCACTAACCTCAAATCGTCGTCATCATCGAGGCTGTGGGCCTGCCGGTCGGCGCCCACCAGGGTGGCCAACGCTGGCTCTGGGAGCCGCTCGTTCACCTCGCTGGAGCCAGCAGAGCCGTGACTCGGGCTCGACGCCAGCTCGGACCGCTCCTGGCGGCGTCAGTCAAATGGTCAGACCTGGGCCCCGTTTCACGGCCGCTGCCAGCACACGTGTCAAATTGGATTTCCATGGAAAATCAACAAGCCCAATGCTCCAACACTACCACAAGTGTGACGTCAGCTCGCGAAATCGGTTGGCAGCGTCTGGCAGCGCGGCCGTGAATCAGGCCCCAGTTGTGTCCTGTCGTGAGTTATAGGCAGTGGCGTAGCTAGATATCATCAAAAAGGGGGGCATGGTGCTCGAGGGGGTGACTTTTCCCTTGAGAGGTGCGCCATTGCCAGCTAGTGACAGGGGAGTCAGTCTAAAATGTAACGTCATGTGTATGCATGAATTAGCATGAATTGAATTAGTATGTGAGAATTAGGTGCACATCATAGTATTATTATAATACTTATAATAATACTATGTATAGTATTATAACGATTATGAAAGGTACAGCCCACCGCTAAAGTAATGTGTGGTTTTACCAATCTCAACGGCTGGCTTTGACCGACGATTTTTAAATGCGGACTGATTGAAAAGAAGACGTCAATAGATAAAGTTGTAGCTGCAAGGGTGAAGATACGTGTAAGCTACATTTAAAGTCTCGTTGCAGTCTGGCTGATCGTTCCTAGGCTTCAGAAGCAGAACCTACCCATGACTGAAACCATACATTACTTCTGCTGTGGACTGTACTTCTCATTCACTCATAATGCTAAGGTCAATTCAGGCCCGGGCAGAGGCTTGCGTTCGGCCATACTCGAGCCCGCCACCAGCGCCATCTGCTCTGTACGTACGCTGTCGCTACACTACCATGGATTTCAGACCCTAACATAAGAGTTATACCCTAACATAAGTTATACATAAGAGCCTGTTTTTCGGCGATAACTTATTTAATTCAATCGCCTTGAAAATTTGGCAAAGCACATTTCAGCTCAAGCGCCGATTCTTGTCAATAGCCGTCTTCACGACGGCCATCTGATACACATTTGGTGCACATCTGGGGCAGATTAGGTGCAGATTGGGTCAAATTAGGTTCAGTGTGTCTCTTAGTAGCTATCAGCTAGGGTTGCACTAATTGCTTATATGCGTGCTTTGTCATATTATCAGAGAGCATCATCGATTAAAACACTGAAATAAATTCATAAAATAAAGATAATTGCTGTAAAAGAGATTACGCGCAGATTTTGTCAAATTAGGTGCACTTGTTGTTGTTGTTGTTGTTGTTGTTGTTGTTGCTCCCTCTGCTCCTCATGGGGGCATTGCCAGACGGCTCTGGAAGCGTCTGGCGGCGGCCGCCAGCGCCGCCACCACTCAGGTCTCCCGGACCTCCTCCAGCCTGGGATGGATGTGACCCAGGGTTGTATGTCTCAGTCGCATCAGCGCCGGACATCTCAGCAGCACGTGTGCCGGCGTGTCAGGCTCCTCATTACACAGGGGGCAGCGGGCCGCCACACAGCCCTCGTCGCGGCAGGCCTCACATCCTACAGAGGGAACGGTACCGATCCTTTGCAGATAGGCCCTAGAGCCCGACCAGTGCCCGGCACGCAGCTGGTGGACATCCACCGCTCTCTCCCGGTCCAGCCCCGCCACCGGTCGCGGTGGGGGGAATCGCCCCCCCCCCCATCAGCGACCGGAACCAGCCGGGGGGCCAGGCCCGGACCGTGTCGTCGCGGGCGGCCCTAGCCACCGCTCGGGTGATTGTCCTGATGTCTACAGGCACGCTGTCCTGTGGTAGATCGGCGGCCTCTCGGGCCACCCTGTCGGCTCGCTCATTACCCTCCACACCACAGTGCGAGGGGACCCACTGGACGTGGATAGTCCGGCCATCATCCGAGAGGGCGGACATGGCTCTCCAAGCCACTACTCCCAGCGGGGAGGTCTGGGCGGCCGGGCCGTTGCGCAGGGTCGCCACTGCTGAGAGGCTATCCGTGCAGACCACGATGGGCAGGTCCTGGTCTCTGTCTTTTTGGGTTAGGGTCTCCAGGCCGGTCACCAGCGCTACCATCTCTGCGCGGTAACTGGAGCATAGCTGTCCGGCCGGGGTCCTCGGCCTCTTCATCCGGCCAGACCAGCACGGCCCCAGCTCCGCCCCTCGAGACTCCGCCCACCGCGGACCCGTCCGTCCACATCCAGACGGCACACTGCGACAGGGACGCGAGGTGCAGGGCGGCCGCGCGCTCCTTTTCCGCCGCCGCGGCGCCGGCCCGGAGGGGGCCCACGTCCATCCGGAAGGTGACGCCTGATGTCTGCCGCCACGGCGGTATCATCAGGAAGCACCGGCGGCTCCACCGGTAGCGCGACTCCGGCCTTCTCCCAGGCCCGGCGGCCCCGCTCTCTCCACCCCCGGACTGAGGCCAGGCGCGCCGGCGCCGAGGCCTCGGCGGTCGCGCGCAGGGGGTCTCCCCCGGTGGCAGGGCCAACGCTCTTCCCAGCAGCCTGGCGGCCAGCGTCCATCCCCTCTCCTCCATCGGGGCTAGTCGAGCTTCCGCCATCAGCGCGTGGGACGGTGTAGATCGCGGGCACCCGGTGATGATACGGACCGCCCCCGCAGTTCCCGCTCCAGGAGCTCCACGTGCGAGGGGGCGGCCGCCGGCAGCCACGCGGCGGCGGCGTGCTCTAGCGCCCCGCGGACGTAGCCGTTGGCTACCGTCCTCAGGGCATCCTCGTCCAAGCCCCAGCTGCGCCCGCCGAGGCGGCGCAGGTGAGCCAGCCGGGGACGTACAGTCGTGTACAGGTTGATGGTCCCCTACTCTTTATCCATCGGGTTCCTATGGCTCAGCATTGGCAGCAGCCGCCTGGTACCGGTAGGCTGTGCCGCATGACCCGAGAGTGAAGCGGCACAGCCTACCCACACTGTATGACACCGGCTCGGGTCGCCTGGTAGAGCGATTTGACCGGACGCTGCGTTACACCGGCTGGGGGGAGGGGGGGGGGTAAAGGTCAGGCTTGTCTATTTAGCTCGGCTCGGTGGATGAGGCGGGCTGGAGTGTGGTGTGGGGCGGGGGTGATGTGGGGAGGGAGTGAGCGGATCTGGGGCTGGGTGTGTGTGGTCACTTGTCGCATAGAACCGATCGTAATCCACCCTCCAAAAATTCGCTTTAGAGATATTCACAAAACCCAGGGGGGTTCAAACACCCATCTCCCAAGTGGGGTGCGGAAGGACAGGTAAGGGTCCATACGGTCTCCTCATGAATTGCAGCAAAGAAAGAAAACAGACCTGTCACCAAATAATCTTTCTGAAAGGTGGACTAATCGCATAGCCTCGGACACAGAAATAAACATCCAGCACGCGAAGCGTCTCGAACCGGGCCTCTCACTACCGGTCAGTTTGACAGTCTAGCACTCCTACGCCGAGCTACACCGGATGGTGGCCACGGCCGGGGCAAAGTCTGGCCGGGCGGGCGGCGGGGGGAGGTCGGCAGCAAAGTCAATGAATGTTTTTGTGGTTTCGGGTGCCGGTCGCTCTAGCTTGGTGGAATGATGATGGATCATTGGCAAAACTTTCTACGTGGAGTCCCGGTTCGAGCCTCATCGGGGCTCCGGCTACTTTTCCGAGTTAGGATCTGGTTTGATTTTAGTGGTTGCGAGCCATTTATACGGTTTTATATCTACATGTCGATTGTCGATTGATTGATTGATTGATTCATCCGTTCATTTATTACATGTCGACATTTAGCATACGAATTTACATCCAGGATCAATCCGATCAATCTACCATTTTCATAAGCGTATTGCCTAAATATCATGCATATATGTGGCACAAGACCTATGGTTGCCTCGATACCGTGCCAAATCACGTTTTGCACAATGCACAAGTAAATTATATTCGCTAGGTCTTCCGTGCATTGTGCTTAGCAAAAACAGGAATGCAATTGTTAAGCGACGCAAAATGTGCAATGCAGCAAGTGACCACACAACCCGCCCAGCCCCCATGGTCCACCAACACGCCCCACACCACTCCCCAGCCCACGCCAACCACCGAGACGAGCCCCTCCCCCGCGCTGGTCTGACGTGACAGCTGGTCTACAAAGCGCTCCACCCGGCGACCCGAGCCGATGACAGCGCAAGCGTGTCAGCGGCTTGCTGGGCACGGTGTCTGGCCGTCTCGATACTCGCACCCGCGCACAGGGTTGCAGTGTCGTCGGCGTACATATAGGGTGTGCATCCTTGGATCGCCTTGAGGGAGTGTGCGAGGGGTGCCGCCCACAACAAAAACAAGAGCGGGGACAGGACGCTACCTTGCGGTAGGCCCGCCCGAAACACCCGTTCGCCACTCTTCACTCCGTTCACCTCGACGGCGACTTGTCGGTCTCGGAGCCACTGCCACGTCCACTGCACCATGCAGCGCGGGAGTCCCAGCTCTAGCAGTCTCAGACGTAAGAGGCGATGGTCCACCACGTCATAGGCGCGCGCGAAGTCATACGCGACCATTACGTACTTCTGGGCGGTGGTGCCTTCTGGTGGGTCTGCACGTCTGGACTTGGGCCGATTCCATCCGTCTTGCACCTGCTGGACGAGTCTGCCGATGCTGTCCTCGACCGATCGGCCAGCCCTGAAGCCGACCTGCTCCGGTGGGACCAGTCCGCGGGACTCGGCCAGGAAGGTGAGACGTCGCTTGATGAGTCGCTCAGCCAACTTGCCGACGTGCGAGGTCAGAGCGATGGGGCGGTAGCTCGCGGTGAGTCGCTTGTCCTTCCCCGCCTTGGGGATGGGGACCACCGTCGCTTGTCGCCACTGCCTCGGGACCTCTGCGGTCCGCCACGACATGTCGATGATGGTCAGCAGGACCTTGCGAGCCACCGGTCCTAGATGTCGGAGCATCTCGTTCGAGATGCCGTCTGGTCCGGGGGCCTTCTTGAGCTGGAGTCCGCTGAGCTCTCTGACCAGGTCCTGCACGCTGAAGGGACCGCATGCTCCTTCTCGTCGATCGCCGCACCCGCGGCAGGAGCGGTGCTCTTCCCGTAGCTGCCTCTTGGTATCGCGGTCCAGCTTCGGTATGCGCACCTGC